TTTGCACCTTTTGCTGAACAACCATGTTTGAATTCGATAGAAAATATAATTTACTATATGATCAATGTAGCGAAAGTATTTCAAGAGCAATATGGTCTGCGAAAACAAGGGAAAAGTTCAGACAAAGATGAAAAAGATTCAGACAAAAGGAGTGCGAAGAAATGTCTGCAAAATGTGATTTTTGTGGCGAGAATCGCCCTCCTTTTAATAAGAGATCTATTCTAATGGAATCAAAAGCCCTTCGACTATACATAGAATTGTAGTAAAGGTATTTTAGGATCTAAATATCTTTATAAAAAGGGGAAAACTATAATACAAAACGATGCCCGAGTGAGCCCGAGTACGAAAAATGTCACAAAAAGTCAAGCAAAAACTCTTTTAGCAAAATGATGTTCAAATTAAGTTCATATTAAGTTTTTAACCTTTGGTTTTGTTTAAGTCCGACTCTATCTGACTGTAAGAAAGCTACTTTAGACTACTTTTTTCGCGCGCTGTTTTACAATTTTCTTCATCTTTGTGTGAACTTTTCCCTTGTTTTCGCAGACCATGTTGATCTTGAGCTTCCTTCTCGCTACATTGCTCATATAGTAGGTATGTTTTCAATCGAATTCAAAAATGGTTGTTCAGCAAAAGGCACGTACACGGCACTGTTCGTTTCACAGTCATACGAAATCTCCTCTATAATTTTCCTTTTTCTTGTCCGCTCTTGAAGCAGATCAACAACAAGGACCAATCAGGTGCCTTGTAATATGTGCGCGCGTTGTGATTGGTTGTCTAAAAATAGATTATCGGGACATCTGATGGTGGCGATATTATTTGGGAGATGGACACTTCTGGTTATGTACTTCTGATGATAAAATATATTTGCTCACCAGGACATCACAGTGTGTATGTGCATGCTCTGCTCGCAACCTTTGAGATTCCTAAGGATGGTCGAATACGATTCATACTCAGATAGTTTCATAATTTTGCAATCTATAGAAAAGATATTTTAAAAACAAAAACAGCGTGTACGTGGAGATGATTTGACATTTTAAACATATCTAAAACYACATAATTTTGCGGGGTTTTTATGTGAGGTTAATCGGAGTCGTGCATCCTTTCAAAAAGGACCACGCTACGCCCACTGCATAACGGTAAAAGAATATYATAGTTCATTTTCGGAATATTAGTCGAAAGCTTATACATATTTTACAGAATCATAACAAACATTTCACTATAAATATAAATTCTAACCCCGCTGAATTTTTTTAATTTACGTTAAATCCTACAAGAAAGGCTTCCCTTGGCTGCTACCTAAACATCGGATCGGCCACCTGCGCAATTTTTGAGAGAATATTTCTGCAGCAAACTAAGTATATAAATAATTCCTGTGTATACAAAAATATTCGTATATTTTGTCTATTGCTTGCAACTGAAGATCATAACATATATTTTTTTTTCGCCGGTCGGCCAAAGGCACCTATTTGATCAGACCGGCAAAGTAAATTATAAAAGAAAAACAGAAGAAGAAGAAGAAGAAGAAGAAGACAAAAAGAAAATCAAAAGAAAAAAGGAAAAGAAAGAATTAACGAAAA